TGATTTTTTTTTTTTTTTTGTTGAATAGTCAGGTCTGCTCGAGGCTGTGCCGTAGACTGACTGACTACATTTGTTTATTTACTTCTATACAGGACTGAAACTGTCACTGTTGTCAAGGCTACTGAGTATAAATGGAAATTTGAATCTTTAGGGAAAAAACCGCGTTTTTCAAGTATTCGTCAAATTTTTTCAGTATTTTAAAGATCTACTGACCTACTCGTGGCGGAGACAAATACAACAAATCAAAAACCATGAAAATTGGTCCAGCAGATCTCGAGTTATAAGTGCTTGGACACTTTTACACAACTCTCTTTTATATATATAGATTGTATTGCGTTGAATTTTTTGTTATTCTTATATGCATTTGAAGTCGAGTCACTTCATCTATTAAGCACTGCATCACCGTGCCAACAACTTTATTCAAATAAAGAAGTCTTTGTTTAAAGTGTGCCTAGGGTATGCTTAAAGGTTGAGTATCACTTGACCTTAACTTGGGAGCTGGTGTGCCGTAATAAACATTCGGTGAGGCAAATGCGGCCACTGCTTAGTAGAGGCTAGCAAAAGACCAAGAGATGCAGACACGCATGGCAGATATACGCAGGATACGAGCCTTAATAATGGGCTTGACCATTATCCTGCATATAAAGTTGTTCATTTCCTTGTTCTTTGGGCTTTGATTTTCGCAGGAGACGGCCGTCATTTCGTATGCTGTGTAAGTTTTGACGCTTTGCCAGCTTTGGCCTGATCTTAACTTTTGGCCCCGCATCGATTGTTGTTATTGCCATTGTGTTGCATACATAATAAATTTTATGAAACGCTCGAGTTTTTATTAAGCTCAATTTTTGGCACAGCCATAAAACGACAAATGGAACACAAAACTTTCCTCTCGCGCCTCCCCGCATGCTCGCTGTGTGCTGTTATTGGCGTTAACAATAAAAATCGAATGTTTTATTTATGTGCTCTACGATTTGTAAAGATTTCTGCTTATGGCGCCCCATGGCCAGGCGAAACTGTTTTCTTTTTGGGATACGGATTTTAATTTCTTTTTAACTACCTTTTGTGAAACGAACAATGAAATTCTTTCATTTGAAATAGCAACTCGAATGAAATACACCGAATATATTTGTTTAATACTATCTTCAAAATATGTCCCTTTGGACTTCCACAAATTCTTCGCACGCACACAAGAGCGTATTTCGATTGAAAAATTCCATTTGCATGAGCAAAGTTTTTGTATTGAAATGCCTTTTTAATTAATTTTATGGCAATTTATTGGCATGCAAGAAATGGCAAATATTGATTATTCAGCGATACGGAAGTCATATCCATATAATATCAGCAAAATATTTGACAAAACATAGCAACAATGTAATTATTTTTTCTTCTCTCTGTAAATTAAACAAGCACATAAATATTTTAAATGAAAGCCGTGCGAACCACTGGCAAAAAGCAGAAGCAGAGCAGAGCAGCTGTTGATTTGGGCTTTTTCCTTATACATAATACGCATTCGCATTTATCGGCGTATCGAAATGGTTATTCAACTGTTTTGTTTCGTTATTCGCTTGTTATTGTTGTAGCCCAACAATCAAATGTTTACAAAACCGCGGGCTGGAGCTCGATTTGCTGTCGCTTCGGCAGGAAACGTGAACATGTTTTCAAATCATTCAAGCACAGAAACGTTGAGCGAACTGCCGATGCCATTAAATTTAGGTGTGGCCGTCGTATGTGTCGTATACGTAATACGCATTACGTATACGCACTGTGAGCTGGTGAACTTGGCCATAATTGATTGTAGCCCAAGGCCTAGTTGATTAATGTTTTAAGCTCAAGCTCAAACTAAGCAAACAAAACGAATTGCATCACTCATTTTCCCATGAGTCGCAGAGATTTTCACTTTAAGTAAGAATCGGCAATTTGTGCGTGAGCAGGTAACTGGCTTCAGGTGCGCGCGCTGCGTAATTAATTTTCAATTATGCAACGCTCTCTAATGGACCATCTATGAGGTTAACCAACTAATTACAGTGGCGTATCGAACCTCTCGTGGTATGATGCGCGCATGCCATTTGCCCGGCAGCGACTTGACCTAGTTCGAAGCCAGCCTCCTAATGCACCTCAAGCATGCAAATGCAGGGCTCCGAATGCTGCCGCACTTGCCGGGAAGCCGGCCGAAGGACTCGTAAACGTCATAATCGAAAGCAACTCATGAGGGCTCACGGCTCATTAACACGCTTCCCGCACACCAGACAGCCCAGACAGCTTGATTGAACTTCAATGGCCTCAATGATACGGCTAAAGGGAGTCACCGGGAGAGAGGGAGGTGGAGAGAGCTATGTCGAGATTAATGCTAATGTGACAACTTAATCGAAAGCCATTTATGAGTCATGTCAAGAGGAGGAGCACCGACTCTCGGCAGCTTCCTGGCTCGCTGTCATCTTTATGATGGCGGGCGACGTCGATGATGACAGCCCCAGATCGTAGGCAATAGCAAAGGAAGTGTGGCACAGAGCAAGTGGCTCTGGCTAACAGCTAATAGCGCCATGACAACGACAAATCCATAAAAAACGAAACACATTAAATATTTGCATTAATTTTTGGGCTGCGATAAGTCAGCCGGTAAAAAATAACTCAGCAAAGTGAAGCTGCAAGAAAGTGCTAGAAAATGAGATACCCTTTACATATGTGAGATGTCTATCAGAAATATTTAAAAACCACTGGAAATTACAGTGATTGATTGATTGAGCATAAAGAGTACCTGGTAAATTACTGAGAATCATAAATGAGCTATATTCCACTGTACCATTCCACAGTAGATCTTTGATAGGCTAAACAGTTTGACAGAAATATTTTGAAATTGGAAAATTGATAATTCCATGCACACGTATGTTCCCCATTATTAGGGACACGAAAAGTATCGTACGGCGACCCCGATATTACATACTCAATATTTTTGTTTCTTATCAAGTATCCCTAAAGCTGTATCGAGTAAAGAAAAACGTATATACGCTAAAAGCTCAATTGGATGATTTTTTTTTTTTTGTACTATAATGCTCATTATTTGCGTAATTATAGTCTTATATAGCGTTGCATAGCTGCCGTTGCTCTACATGAGAGACAAAGATGCAAAATTGAAGGATATTTGTACAAGCTTGCACTGTCAACCCTTTAAAGGAATCGAATGACATGAACAACCTGCAACAGAAGTATTTGGAAATTTCTGCGACATCTGTGCGCTCTGGCGTTTATTTTTTAAAGATGCAAGTACAAGTACACAAATTCTCAGCCGATTTTCACCGAAACAGCTTTACAAACTTAATTTCTTAAACGATACATAATGTTTTCATTGTAAAAGAAAATAAAAAGAAACTTGTATAACCAAAAAATAATAAATAAATAAAAATAAAAAAAAACATATATATAACAACATGAATATCCAATACGGATTTAATAAACAATTGGCCCATCTATATACGATACGATATGAGTACGATGATTTTCTTTGATTATTGATTAGTTATACAGCTACCAGAAAGAGTAATACATGTATATATCAATTACGTGTAACTATAGGGTAAGAGAAAATAAGTCATATAACATTTAACATTAAAGAATTCATTTCTTTGTGCAGATACTTAGAGCGCTAAACAACATTGTTGGCCCATCTTAAAAGCAGGGTATCGCCTGGGGAAGCGAGAAGGCGGAAAACAGGGACAGGACGAACATTTTATTCGCTTGGCACTTACCCGGCAAGCCTGATGTGACGCTGATAAGAAGCAATAGTTGCGCTATCAGCGCTCTGCTGGCGCCCCGGCGGGCGCTGCTCCACCTTCCATTGTTGCCGCTGCTCCTCTGCTGGCTGCTCATTTTGTGGGTGTTGTGTTGTGTTGTGCGCTGCTTGTGGAGCGGGTTGTTGCCTCTTATCGCTCAATGCGTTACTTTGTCGAATGACACAATGCCACTTGCCTGCGAGTGGCTGTAGAAGGCCACGCACTTGACTTTTATTGCGCGGCAGACGCTAGTGCTCAAGCGCTCGGGTGGCGCCACCTAGTGTTCGCGGGTGAGTGTTGCCTCTAATTTGTATGCGGCAAATATTTGGCTAATTTAGTTGGCTCGCGCAGGTCGGTTGCTCGTGCTGGTTGCCTGAGGACAGTACAAAATAAACAGCGCGCACGCGAGCCCGAACACACATCACAGAGTCGAACGTGAACAACAATCGAACAATTGAGTCAACAATTTCAAAAGTTTTCCAAAAGGATTTCTGTTTTGTTTTAATTGAATTTCTGATGCCTTCCAATTGACATTTTTCGCACAGTGCACAGTGTGGCAAGTATGTGTGACACCGGGTGGCCGACGAGTTGCATGCAACCGATATATGCACGAGCCTATTGTTGTTACTATTATTATTATTATTTTCGCTTTGTTGTTTTGCAATGCTCAATTTCGCTTCACTTTGCACGGTTTTTGTTTATGGTTTTGTTTTTCCTTTTCCCTTTCTTTTCGCTTCTCTGTTGCCGTTTTTAATCAGAAATTTACACAGTCACCGCATCGCGCGTCTCGGGCAAACAAATTGGCGGCGCGGCTACTGCTGTCCTTGTTGTTCGTGCTGCAACTGCAATGTKGTATTTGTTGTTTTATTTGTGTATGTGTGTGTGTGTGTTTGTGTATTGCAATTGCAGCGCAGCCAAATGAAAGCACAATGAAAATTTTCAATCAAAACTTTTTACACTCTTTCTGTTGTTGCTATTTTAGTAAGCGATTTCTTTTTTCCCTCTCTCTTTTTCTCTGTCTGTCGCGATATCTATTGCTGTCTCTGTCTGGTGCTTTTAAGCGCTCGTTAGCTAGCAAGATTTTTCTGTTTCTTTTTGCACTTTTCTTTCGCTTTTATTTAGTTTTTTGTGTTTGCTATCTTCTTTTTTCAATTTTTAATGCAATTTCCACGCTTAACTGCACTTTTTGCCGCTTCGCCTGGCTGTTGCTTTTGTTGCTGTTGCTGCTGCCCCGTTTTATAGAGCATTTATTTACACGGACACACACAGACAGACACAGTCAGCTACAACAAACATTCGCACACACACGCAGCGACAGACAGATACAAGCAAAATATGCACACAATTTGCATTGCGTTGTTTGTCTCCCTCTCTCTCTCTCTCTCTCTCTCTCTCTCTCTCTCTTTAATTCTCTCTGTGCCTGTCTCTTTCTCTGTCTCTGTCACTTTGCTTTGTTTTGTTTCCTGTTGCTCGCACAAATTCAAATTACTTTTGTCGTTATTGTTTGTGTTGTTATTGTTGCTTGTTGTTAAAGTTGTTGTTGCATGTCATGTTCATTTCTTCAAATCAGTTGGCAGTTGCGGCTGTTTGCCTCGACGTCATCAGTTGTCGTCGCTTCGCATTGGACATGGCTCTGCGTGGCTGCCACAAGATGTTGCACATGCACAGCTTCGATTTGCAGCTCCACTTTCGTAATACGACCACGCCTTGTGCATTTTTCACATTATGCCAAATGCAAACTGAAAGACAGAATAAAAGAAAAAAATAAATAAATTGAAAAACCCATTCAACTATTATAATTAAGAACCCAATGCAAAACAATCACTTTATATATATTATTTTTAATGGGGAATGCAAGGACTCATTCACTACGCTTCATCTGCACAGGGCACCCTTCATTTACTCTCTGTTATGTATTTTCTGCATCATTCGCACTCTAGTTTTCATTTTGACTCGAGTTTATACTGCATCATTTCACTCACATCTTTTATGACATCGCTCGCACTCGATTAAATATCATTATAAATTAGAGTTATTAGGGAGATGTTAGTTTCATTTCGAAACTACTCAGGCGAACAAATTACTACTCAAATGAACAAATTAAACCCTAAATAATTATAAATAAGTAAATAAATAACAATAAAAAATAAATAATTTAAAAAATTAAAGTAAAAAAATAAAAA